TTTTGAGGTGTGGCAACTTAGTGTAGTAGGCTAGTTATTACTCTCTTCAAGTGCCAGGTCTAGAGTTCAAATCCTATAGACAAAAAATAACTTGTGTTATAATTAATAGTTATCAATTATTAGTTAGATCCAGAATCAAATCTGCAATCTTGGTTATACTATCTAGTTATGGGAGCTTTGGCACAATAAATCCAGAAAACTGGAATAACTGAAAACCTATTTGAAAAGTTCTGAATTTGAAGATAGCAGTAATCTTTGATAGTACTACAGAAAAGCTTAATTTAAACCAGGACCCAAGATTAGAGAACTGAGCAATTAGGTTCTTAAGTAGAAAACACATTAGCTAAACCATTAGGCTAATACATTAAAAAAAAAGATATATGCTCTGAAAGTATAGACCAAGGGGAGGGTAATCATGAAGCATATAAAGTTTAAACAGACCAACCCTTCTAAGTTGTTAGCTAGAAGTAAAGGAGAGACCAATAAAGAATCTAGATAAAAAGACAGTTTAAAATATAGATACCAGGGTTGTTGTAAACCAAATAAGAGCAAATGAGTATATAATATGTGTCTAATTAAAAAGGTTAGTGTTTAAGAAATGACTGTAAAACAGCAGCACCCCAAAAGGTAACATGAAATACAAATCTGGTATGGCAAATTAATAGATACTAATTAGAAAGAAGTTATAGAAACATACAGATAAATACATGTGTAGAACATATATTACTCTGTTAAGTTTACCTTGAGGATAGTAAAATATTCTAAGATAGAGTGCTAAATTCAAATATGAGATGATACCAATATCTACTTAGTTTAGTGAAAAAACTCTTTGGGTTAGAGAGCTAACAATGGTAATTAGAATTAGATGGTTTAAATAGGCAATTCATGTAGTTGAGGTGCAGGTACAGCATATAGTATGAAACCCTAAACATAGCACTAATGTTTTGAGCAGACCACTTAAATTAGACACCAAAAGTATATATGTGGCTTGATGTATCATCATTAAAATTACAATATAAAACATTGTTAATATTTTAATAAAAAATTTCCCAGGCCAATGAGATCACCTTAATACCAAAAAAAAAAAATTATAAAAAAATTTTTATATAATATAATTAATTATATAGGAAGTAAATATAAAAATATATAATTATATAAAAAACTTAAAATAATAACTAATACTTTTTTTTTTTGTTTTAAGATAACCTTTTTGACTTAAAGACTTTTTATTAAATAAAAATTATATTACAATTATAATGAAAGTAAACTAGCTATATATGCACTTTTGGATAATGATAATAACTAATGCTTATAAGAATGGCAAAGAGATATTACAATTAAAATTAAAAAATTTAAATCTACAATATTTTCTAAATGAAAAATTCTAAACATTTCTATTTAGAGATGTTTAGCTTATATATCTCTGGCCCAAAAACTATTTTCAATATACAACTTTAATTAGGGTAAAGTTATATAGGATTAGAGAAAAAGCAAGTTTTATAAATAAAATCGGGTTCCCAACATTTTTAATTAGTATTCTAAAAAAGATTTAGATAGCCATTTTTGATATTTTTTATATTTGATCATCCTTTGTGTTACATGAAAACGGGCATCACGTGCTTTTTTGTAATTTTAATTGGCTATTAGGTCCGAAATATTATTGTCAGACCAGAGATCCCTTTCTAAATCTAATACTTTTTTTTACAACCAATACAAATTAGTCTATCTATAAATTATAATTTGTATATCAATAAATAGTTTCTTTATATATACTTATCTTTACTAATAGCTTCTTTTTTATTTATTAATATATTATATTTAGCTTTAGTGTTTATGAAGACCAATCACAATTGATTATATATAATTAGCCAATCAGAATTGATTACGTAAATTTAAAATTTGGCGTTTTTTATTTAAAGGTGTTGGTTTTATACTGACCCGCACTGTAGTGACGACATATTAGTCATAATTAGTCATAATTAGTCATACACGTATTAGTAATCAAATAGTCATAGATTAATCATACGCAATCCATATCAAACATATCAAACAGACAGGTAATTTATTCTTACCTTATGTATTGACGTTAATGGTTGATGGTCGCATATACAGTAATAAAGATAGATTATCACGTGTTTAGAGATAAGAATCACTTTATGATATCGCTATCGGTTTAAACCATATTTGTCAGATTTACTTATTCGAATCAGATCAACAACACATGTAATAACAGTTCGCGTTGAAATTTTTTCGATATAAACAAATTTTGATATTTTTTATCTCATATGAGCGTTCCCTTTTTCCTTGGCGTCACTCATATAACACAAATATAAAATATTAAGGAAAAAACAGTCTTTGATAAGATCAACTTCTCTAATAAAACAGTGGATATATGAACTTATCATGTATTTTCGGAGTATAGTGTAAATTATGATATAAAATCAACAAAGTATGCATGATCATGTACAAAAAAACAAATAACTATGTTACGCACTTTTCTTTATTATTGTTATACAATGAAAAAAAATATTTTTGGTTAATAATACACAACAGATTGAAGCTTAATAATGAAAATTTGAATATAACCAATTAATTTCCAAAAGCTTAGTTAACTCCTGTTAATAGTAACACAATTGGAGAAAAACTGGGGCGAAGTAAGGTAATATTAACCAATTATTCGTACGGATCGATTCGACTTAAATTATAAATACAAAATAAAGCTATTTCACATGAATTTTTCAATAACAAATGCAATGTTCAATAACAGGTTAACAATAGATTAACAATAAAGATAAGATTAATTAGGATAATGATAGATTAATGATAAGCTATATAGCATGAATTACATTGTCATCCAGAACGGTCTAAAAAAATAGCATGTAACATCTTATTGAACATCTTATTGAACATCTTATTGTATCAGCCTAAATTCCTATTGAAGCATCAAATGTAATGAAAAAGGACATTGAGTGGTAAAAGGAGGGCATCACATGGACGAATGGACGATGATAATCTAAAGTCTAAATAAAATGTCCGAAGAAATAATAAATACCCGAATATCCGAAAATCCAATACATATATGCCTAATGATATTAATTTTTAATAAAAGGTTAATGTAATTTAATTAGTCAAGTATTTAATTTTTTAGAACTGAGTGAATAAATGAATAAAATAGGTCTAGCATTGCAGTTTGATTATTTTATTTTATAATATAAATTATTAAAATACGAAAAAAAAAAAAAAAAATCGTACGTTTTTTTTAACAGTTCCGCGTTTGGGAATCTTGCGCGTATGATCATCAAATAAATTGACAAATTAGAGCATGAAAATGGTGTGATATTTTTGGTATACGAATACTGGATTGAACAAAGGGGAGACAAAGGAAGAAAAGGCAAACGGGGAGATGAGCCACAACAAACGGGGAGGTACCGATGGAATTATTAATCATGGAATAAAGAATATCTCATAATCACTACCTTTTAACTTACTAATCAACCCATTTTTAGAGCTAAATATTCGACCGCATGATTTAGAATTGCAACAATATCATTTAATCCGTTCTTCTTATGCAAAAATTGCAACAATATAATCTAAACCGTTCTTTTATGCAAAATGCAAACACTACATGTTTAACGTTCTTCTCTCTAAACATTTATTTTTAACGAATTCTTGAGTGTATGCACATACATAATATTTATAGAATAACCAATAGGAACAAGTTTTACTAATCCCATTGAGATATAAAATTCCGAATTAGGTTTGTCAGTCTTACTCAAGTAAACAAAAACAGGAAAATAAAAGTTCGTGAAAGACAATAAGGGAAAGGTAACGTGCCGACGACTAAAGATTACTTTTGACTGGTTCTTTAATTCTGTATTTGAGCACGAATGTTTTATATAAAAAATTAATAATGTTTTTGTATTCGCTTTTAAGAAGATAATATTTAAGAGATTTTTAAAAATTAAAAAAAATAAAAATAAAAAAATTTTTAAATGATGAAAAAAAAAGGTCGAAAAAAAAACAATCGTTTACGATTAAACTTTATTTAAAAAAGGTTAAAGAACAAACAACTTTGACAAGACTTCAATCTGAAACACGGGGTTATAAGACTTTCGAAACTATCCTGAAATGCATTTAAACATATTAAAGTAGAAATAATTAGAGTTCGTACTCTGTAAAGAATTTGTTTTGAAAAAAAAATAATAAAGCGGTGTAATCAGCGTGAATGCTCATTGTTTGTTAATTTATATCCGCATGCCGTAACGTGATACGTAAGACAATTTTTTCAAAGACGATTTTCACTACAACGAAGAAAAACGCAAACACATGCATTACCAAGAATTATTACAACTGGTTAAAATGAAAAAAATCCTTATCACAACACAACTGGTTAAATTGAGATAAATCTTTTTTAGTCATTGACGACTTCCCGAAGTCCCCGAAAGACCACAAGAAAAACATCAGCCAGACTTGAAGCCAATAACATTGGTTTACCGAGTTCATCAAAGATAAACATGTGGTAATCTGTAATTTGTCATGTTCAAATAAGCCATTAAAAAAAAAAATTCCACGGCCGAAACAATTGTTTTTGTTTATTCTTCTTTTGCGGTACACATATCATACAACATTCTGAATTGAACTTTGTCGTATGATTTCTTGTTTCTTGTGAAAAATCAAGTAAAGTATTTAAACGGTATGAAATGAATCGACTGAGGTGTAGGAATCATAAAAATTTAAGCCATATGCCATAGAAATATAAAATACAAAAAATCACATTAAGTTATCATATATGCTAATCATATCATATATATGCTGGGGAGAGTTCATATGAGTTCATATTTTTTTTTTTCATATAAAAATACACTTATTCCATAAGATATTTCTTAAGCTTTTCTTTTCCATTTTCATATGATGATAAACTATAATTAATTTTTTTTTTTTTTTTTTTTTTTAAAAAAAAAAAAAAAAACCTTAAATGTTTTTTTTCCTCGTTTTTTTTTTTATTGTTGAATAAAATTGATATACGCGTTATTGTTATTATAAACGTTATAAAAACAAAGAGCAGTCTCCGGAGAATTATGGTAAGTAAATTGATTGTCGACTTGGTTGGTGTTAACGATGTAATTTGAAAATAAATTTTCCGTTGGTACATTGATAGGAAAACCCGGTGTCATCGGACTAGGAAACATGGTAACCGGATTTTCATTGGCTTCGAATAACGAAATATTTGGACCGAACGATCCAGTACTTTGAATTCCATGAACAAGTTTAACTTGTGTTGAAGTTGACGGAGTGATTGGCGGGGTTAATATAGGATTTATATCACAAGATTGTACGGTCGGAGTAACTGTCATAATTACGTTATTTTCGTTGCTCTTAAGTTTCGATAATTTATTTTTTATTTGAAGCCATCGAGTGCGGCATTGCCTCTGTGAGACAACAAAAAAAAAAAAAAGACATTTAAAAAATTTGAACATTCATTTAAAAAATTCGAAAATTCGAACATTTAAAAATTTAGAACATTTAAAAATTCGAACAATTAAGAAATTTCGAATATATAGAAAATTCGAATATAAACATTCATATATATCGAATATTAAAAAAAATAAAAAATAAAAAATTTCATGTAATTTAATATTAGATTTTAATATTAAAAAAAAAAAATTTTTTCGGGTATATTTAAATATTTAAATAAGATTCGTGTATATTAAAATAATAATTCGGGTAATAAAAGAATTATTAAATTAAATTAAGATTATATTATCGTTATTATTATTAAAGATTAAGATTATATTAAATATTGTATTAAAAAGAAGAGAGAAAAAAAAAAAAAAAAAAAAAAAAAAAAAGAAAGAGTTCATTGAGTATACTGTATTAAAAGTATACTGAAAAAGAAAAAAAAACTATCAATTAAGATAATAGTGAAATATTCAGTTACCTGGGTTCTACCTTGAATCATCTCCGCGATCCGTATCCAACAACGACCATAAATTTTTACACCTTCTTTCAGTATACTATCTTCACTGGGAGACCACTTTCCTTTTTTAATACGAGGATCTAATGCTTCTGTCCAACGTGCTTGACATTGGGCACCAGTTCTTTGAGGGATTTGTTTAGAAACTTTATTCCATGGTATTGGCTGGGGATTTCCTTGAGAATCAACAGCATTAAGATAACGTGATACGGTTTCAGTAAGCGCAGCATCTTCTGCGGAAGTCCAACGGCCTTTAAGAACTGAAGGATTTAAAGCACCGACCCAACGGGCTGAACATTGCATGGGAGTCCGATTTGGAACATGTGTTGCAATTAAAGACCATTTATGCGGACCGTATCTTTGCACAGCCTCCCTTAGTAATTCATCTTCTTGTTCCGTCCATTTTGTATACACAGAAGGCTTTTGATTTACCGGGTTTGGTAAAGTGGGCTGGTTAGTAATTGTTGTTGGGGTACCCGGGGAATGTTGTGATGTGTTGCATGATGCACTGATCTGCTAATATACAAATTAAGATGAATGTTTTAGTTTAAATGATTTTAAAATAATGCAAGAAATATGTCATTTTGAACGAATTGGTAATTTTAATCATTTGAATAAAAAATAAAAAATAAAAAAATTCGGGATCTTCCAAATAAATCAACATTTTATTATTATAATGAAACTATCTTAACCTTTTCTATCGCCTGCCGTGTATAATCATCGCTAAACATATATTCAGAATTGGGAACTGATAAATGTGAAAGGTACTCTGCATGAACAGCAGCAATATTCTTATGATATGATTCTTGATTTGTTTGATTATGAGGTAAAACCTATGCAAATTTGAAAAAAAATTATTTATTATTTTTGTAAAAAAAAAAAATTATCAACATTTGTGTAACCGAATACAAGAAACTACCTCTATTCCTAGGATACTTGCATCAACCTTTTTAAAAATTTTAATATATACAAGTTAACGTTAATAAAAATTGACACAGAAAAAAAAAAAAAAAACTTTACGTAATATTATGAATTATTAATTAATTATTGTTACCAGTGATAAGTTAGTTGCTGTCGTTTGTTTCACATTGTCAGAATTATCTGGCGGTTTCGACGACGGAATAGCGAATGTAGACTTTTAGAGATTTAGAGATAAGATGTGTCGATATATATATATATTAATTTTTCTGAAACACGATGAATTATTTTATTTATTTATATTCATTTATCAAATTATTAATATCTGTTATTATTTATAATTTTTAATCTATTACTTAATTTAATAATAATAAATAATAATATATTAATAGTTTGATCAATGTTACATTTACTCTGTTATCTTCAGGTAAAGTCTAATTAATAAAGAAGAGACAGACGTGAAGAATATCAGTTGAAATCTGGAAGATCAAAATTAAAATTGTTAATAGAGTACTCCAAACTACAATCATAGTTTTCCCGTTTTACTAATTGTGTACTTTTTTTTTTCACTATTATTTTTTGAATTAAAATTTTAAATCAGGTAGGTAATAGTTACTTTATAGAGTTTAATAATTAATAAAACGGGAGAATAACACCTTTATTCCCGGGTCAGAAGGCCTACAATTTTTTAGACTGGAATGATTTCATAAAATTTTTTTTTGATTATAGTTTGAAGTATCCCATTAACAATGTTAACCAAATCATTGAAAAAGAAAATAAAAATAATAAAATTATAAATTACTTGAGAGATTTGAAATTGGGGAACAGTAGTAACTTGCAATTCAGGTTCATTTCGGGATTGGCTCTTTTTAAAAACTGGAATTAAATCGGGGAATAATAAAATAGCAATATAAAGAAAAATTAAGAATTTTAAGTTTTTTTTACTTAAATTTACTACTTACTTCAATTGATCTATTGAGAACCGTGATGTTTTTATTGTTGTCGAAAAAATATGGTATGTGGATCATTTTTAGAGAAAGAATTTGTATTAATAAAATGAGGGGAGGTAGCCGCGAAATTTGGTAATTACAGATTTGGTCGCTTATTTATAGATTTTTTGTTTTTGTTTCTAACTAAAGTATAATTGAACTTTCACCACGTGTAACTTTCAAAAAATACGACAACGGTTTTATATATTAAGTTTGTGTTTTAACAAATATATATATATGTATATAAAAATATATATAAAAATTGCTTTCTAAAGTATTACGTAAATAAGTAGATATGTTTGGCTACGACCGATAAAGAATTATGCGAAGTTAGCTCACTTTGCAGCAATTAGGTGACATTAAAAAAAAAGGATTTCTTAAAACATTTTGTAGCTGAATTTTTTTTTTTTTTGGGCGTGGGGCCTAAAATAATGGTCCAATTTTTTATTGTTTTTTTTCATAATATTTTTAATTCATTTTCTAACGTATTTTAATTTTTATATATTTTATATTATTCGTATGAAAAACGCCAGGATTATATTAGTCAAAAAAAAAAGGATAAATTCGCGTAACGAAACTAAACCAATTTTATTTACGATCATAAAAGTCTTGTTGAACTATAAAAGAGACACTTTTATTTTTTTTTTTACAAACAAAACTTCTCTATAGATACTGGATCTTCAAAACAATTACATATTGCAACGACAATCACTTTAAAGAAAATCCATTCATGGAGAGTAAATAAAAGATATATTTATTTTATCGTAAAAAAGAATTAATAATATTAAATAATATGAAGAATTTTCATAACAGATAATAAATAAAGGGACATAAATACGTACGTACATACCAGATACCTTGGATTCGATATTCGATGATGTACCAACCAAAAAGCAGAAATGGAGAAATGATCAAAAATGATGAAAGAAAAATCCACATGTTCATAAAATTATTGGTTCATTCAAATCTCAGATGATACGTATAATGATAAGAAAAGAAATCGAAATGCAGCCAATTGATCGATTGCTTTTTCTCTACATGAAGGTTGATTATAAATACGAAATTACTGCCTATGAGGTCATAAAACTCTATTCACTAGCAAGCCCCTTGTTGAAATTAGTATTACAAGACCTAAATTTTATTTATGCCATAAATAAGTTGAAACTTACTTAAATACGGTAATAAGTAATATAAGTAATATAAGTAATATATAAATGAGGTTTATAATTGGCCAACAAAATTTTGATTACTTTTTTATTAAGGAAATTTAATGAGTAAAATGTGTAAAAATGTGTAAAATGTATTAAAATTTCAGATACGCAAATTTACCTCGCATTACTTTCTTATGCTTTCGACGTCACGCAAAATAAAGTCGTGTAAAAACAATTTTTTCCGGAATGTATTATGTTTTACTAGATGAAACTGCCAACTCGCATTATCATGCATATATTAATTAAATTAAAATAATAATGCCAAAATTCTAGATCTAACGCCAGAAAAAAAAAAAAGAGCAGCAGGAAATAGCACGTGAATAAGCATATGACGCAAAACGAACGCACCTTACGTACTGTACATGCTCTACACAATAGACATGGTTGATTACTCATCGACTACCCCTAATGCTTGCCAATTTACCAATAACCTCACTCAATAGTCAACCAACCAATGGAACTTTTTTAATTATAATATTACGTTATGAATAGCCGTTATGAATAGCTATGAATAGCTATGAATACAGGAATTACTATGAATAGTATGAATAGTTATGAATAATAGTTATAATAGTTTAAAGTGATGGTAGTATAATATAATTTTTAATTTTTTTTGTTTCAGATTTGCTTGGCAATTTGATTATTTTGAGTATTTTAGTATTTCAAGAATGAAAACAAACAAAAACATTCTAAGCAGGTAACTCGATAAAAGTCAGGTACTGTACCTACAAACAATGTTATACATAATGTAATACATTTTTGACTGTCCCGAGTCTTTTGGTCCTGACCCGTTCAGGGACACGCCGATTTTTAATCAGAAAATTAGATTAAAGCAATAACGAAAAATGGGTAAAATTAAATTTTAAATAATTTTACTTATGAATTGAAAGAAGGTTGTCATAATAAAATATATAATAAAATATATATAATAAAATATATATAATAAAATATATATAATAAAATATATATAATAAAATATATATAATAAAATATTGAGTTACCAAATCCTTTCCAGCTTTGACTCAACTGTCCTGTGTACAACACTACCCTACAAACAAACCAGCAATTAATTAATCCATTTACAAGAGTCAGTCCTTTTTAAAATGATTTAACATTGATAGACAATAGAAATATGTAATTATCTATGTAATTATCTATGTAATTATCTATGTAATTACTTACGTACACGCACACATTGTGTTCATGAACTCATAATCAAAAGTTTACAATTCAAATTGTTGTTTGCTAATTTATTCCGATTATGTAATTGTATTTTTTATAGTTTACTCTATCATCATTCATTGGTTTATATTAATAAAGTTTATGCGTAAAGATAGTTTAACATAATAGTTCGAAAAAAAAACCTTTTTTGAAAAGAATGAATTCGCATTCTATGAAAAGATTTATTGTTTTTGATAGATCTGCATTGATGAAAAAACGTTACATATATATATTTAAACAATTCTTATTTACACTATGAAAATTTGCCAAATTAGCGAAATACCTTTTAAAGAAGTCCTTAAACCAAAAATTTTTGAATGAATGCTAATAACGTCATTAGTGTTCGATTCTTGTCTAATTTTGGAGCAATGACGTTACATCCATGACTATTAAGGTTTAACATTCAACACATTAATATCATATTAGTATCATAGAATTAGATTTCCTTTTTTTTTTTGATTACTTTTAATTTTGCACAATTTTACACAATTTTACACAATGTAAATAAATAATTTGTCCATAAAAGAATTTTATATAATTCTTCTAAATTTGTGTAAGTTCACTTTAATAAATTCTAATAAATTCTAATAAATAATTGCCCTTTTACGTGAATTGTCTCGCTCTATTACACGTAATACTGTAATAGAATTTAATAGAATTTAGAGATACCATGATTTATGTAATAATAAATCCCTGTATTTTTGTTTATATTTATTTATCTTCTTTACATTTAGGTTTAAGTTTTGTATATCAAATTGATCTTGTGTTCACGTACCACGTAAATAGCGTGCCACTTTCTTTAATTTTTTTTTTTTTCCTCATTTTCAAATTATTGAGTTTTGGTGAAACTATAATAATCCTTTTTGTTTTTCTTATCCTTTAAATTTGATAGAATTTTTCCATACAGTATGTACGTTTCAGAATATTGATATCGATATATTTTTTTGTTTTCTAAAATAATAAAAACTAATAAAAACTAATAAAAACTAATAAAAACTAATAAAAACAATGAATTATAATGATCATCAAAATTTATTTTATATTTTGGAATACTTATTCGGCACTATTGGAACTATTTTATGGTCATTTCAGTTGCTTCCTCAGGGTAACCATCTGTTCAAACAACGTCTTTTTTGTTCAGTTTTCGTGCAATATAATAACTTTTGTAATGCCGTAATGTTTTTTTTATAAAGTGCACAAAAATTGGCGCAATCAATCAACGAAAGGTATGTTATGCCGTACGGTATCTATTTTAGGATTTCAACTTGAGTGTTTGCAGTTATTTCAATTATCATCGTATGTATTGTTACATACATTATTGTCGTTATCATTTGTTATCAACGTTATCAACGTTATCAAACGTTATCATCATTATCGTTATGTATGCACATAATAAATATGAAATTATGAATTAATGAATTTCATGGGTATCTATTCGTGAATGGGATTTGGATAATTACATTGGAAATGTTTATCTTCTGGGAAATGACGCGTCATTACATAGCATTAACTTACCTTTTTTTATGAAAAGGGTTTTCACCTCTCATGCCATTATCTTGGGTTGGTTACATTATTCAATCTACTCCATTTCTTCAATCTACTCCATTTTCTTCACTTTATTCAATCTACTCCATTTATACCATTTACATAATTTACATAATTGATTCCAAATTATTCTTTGATTAAAAAACAGGCTGTAGCAGGCTTGTTTTATGGAATCTACGCGATAGTAGCTGAACTTTCGATCATTCTAATGGTTCAACCGTTGATATTTGGCCTACTAAATCTAATATGTTTTATACAATACTTATATTATGATAATTCCATGTTTATTCAAAACAAAAAGAAATCTGGTTTCTTATTTATTATTATTTGTATAATATGGGCCGGAATTCAATCTGCTTGTGTTTTTGGAATAAGAGTATTCATTTTTTATTGTTTTTATTTTTTATTGTTTTTATTGTTTTTTTTTATTGTTTTTTAATATTGTTTAAATTTATATCACTTTTTTTTCAAAAAAAAAATTAATTTTAGGTCGCGGATGAAAAAAATATCAAATGGCCAAAGACAGTTTTTGGGATAATGCCCACAGTATTTATTTTAATCGGATACATACCCCAATTTTACGAAATTCATTGTATGTTTTCTTTTTTTTTTTATCTTTCATTCATGAAAAAAAAAACTTTTTAAAAAATACTAGTTATTCACGAAAAAAAAATTTCTTAATAAATACTAATTAATTGAAAAAAAAAAGCTTTTTAATAATTACTAATTAATATTTATTTTTTATTTTTTTTCTAGGTAGGAAATTTGTGCATGGCATTTCATTGATATTTTTAGCAATTGACATGTCTGGAGCCGCTCTTTCTACATTAAGTTTAGGTAAATATATAATTCTATTAATGATTCCTAGAATTAAATTCAACCTTATTAAGCCTTTTTCTTTATCTTTTTTTATCTCTTTTAGCATTTAGTCCACCTCCATTTGACGCGTTTGTGTCATCATGTTATCTTTCTATATTAATATTGAATTTGACCATTATATTATTATATTATTATTTTAGTTGGAAACGTAAAAAAAACCTTGCTGGTGACCATAGTAATGACCAAGAAAATAATCATGGTAATGAACCAGTTGTAGAGATAACACTCAAAGCTGAATATAATGAGCGTGACGAAAAAATTGACGGTCCCGTGACTAATCCAACGACACCATCCTAATTATTATTTACATTAAATATACAGAATATCCAGAAAGGATACGTATTATTTCACCGACAATCACTTCACAGACACCTCGTTTCACCGACAATTAATTCGCCGACATGTTTATTTCACAGACAATCATTTTACCGACGTTTAGTTCACCGACATGTTCAGTTCACCGACATGTTTATTTCGCCGACAGTTAATTCACAGACAATCATTACACCGACAGGTTAATTCACCGACAATATGTTTCACCGACAATACGTTTCACTGACAATACGTTTCACCGACAAGTTTACAGCTGTTTTCATAAATTCTGGGACACCCTAAAAAAACTTGCC